CAATGTGGAACTATTAAAAAGTCAGCAAGGAAATAGCCAATAATAGTAGGACAAAGCAGTATGTTTAGTAGTATCCACGGATGTTTACAAAAGCCGGTATCTTGTAAGTTAGCAGGATTACTAGGAGCACACTCACTTGTAAGCCTCAAATATAGTGGAGGGAACTAAAGAGAACTTGGGGAAAACAATCAAAAAATGATTAAAAATTAGAGGTTGGAAAAAAGATAAATGTGGAGTGAAAGCAAACTAGAAACTAAGACCATGTCAAGGATACTAAGCCATGCTACCTTAACATGGGCTTAGTACCTCATTATTTAATATAATGAAGTCTATTTGTAGGCCAGGGAGAAAATTAGGATGAGAGCATTAAAAGGTACAAGAGTGGTGGTCTGCCTTTAATGGGGAAAACTGTCAAAAGTTGAATGAGTGACGGAAACTACCTAGAAATTTGAAAAGTGGATCACGATAGTGGGGTGGGTTAAAGAGCAGAACTTCGATCCAAAGAAAAGAGAATCTTTCTGTCGGGGGGAGGTGAGGAAGGTATTGACCCGACCCGCGGAAAGGCGAGCTGGTGAGGCGAGGCGTCTGAGTCAGACTCTTAGATGAAAAACACCGAGAACAGCGCCGAGGAGCGGAACTGGGGGCAGCGGTGTGGCCCGGGGCTCTCTCACCTTGGCCTTGTAGCTGGGCAGGTTGCAGAGAATGTCCGTGCGCAGAGCCTCTTCTGCCAGGCTGCGGGCGCACAGGCTCCGCCACACCTCGCTGTTCTCATCGCCGTGCAGGCAGCGGTACCAGTGCTTGCACACCAGGGCGCAGCTACGCAGCTCGGACAGCTCCAGGTAAGAGAACACCAACTCCAGCACCCGGCTGGGCAGCCGGCCCCCGACCCCCGAGCCCGAGCCCGAGCCGGCGCCCGCGCCCGCGCCCGCGCCGCTGCCACTGCCGCCGCTACAGCCAGCGCCGCCCGAGGCTGCTCCAGCCCCCGGGGCCGGCGCCGCCATCGCCTCACTAGCCGGCCCGAGGGCCGCCGCCGCCGCCGCTTCCCGCCGTCTCTGCTCAGAAGGCCAAGCCGCTCCTGGAGACCGGAGCGGCTCGCTCACCGCCCCTTTCAGTGCCAACCGCCGGCGCCTTCACCACTCCCGCCCCTGCCCGGGGGCGATCGCCGCGCGCCCCGCCTCACTGAGGGCAAACGCACCGGCTGCACGGGCGTCCTCCGCCCCTCCCCCGCGGCTCAGCGCGGGCGCCGAAACCGCCCGACCAGCCCGGCCTCTCCACGACGCGCCCGCGGCTCCGCCATGCGGGTTGAGGGCACGAAGCAAGGGCGCACGCCCAGCTCGTTCGCGGTTCCTCTCAGCCCCGGATGTGACTGTTTGGCTGCAGCGCCTCACGCTCTACGCTCGACGGGATTGGGCGCCGGGGGGTGAGGTCATCACTGGGCGCTGAGGAGGGGAGCGGGAAGCGCAGGTATGAGGCTGGCGCCGGTGGCTTCGATGCTGTTTTCTAGTGCGTTTTCCTTTTTGGTCTGGTGGCTCCGCGTCTGCTCTCCTGGACCCCCTTTCCTGTGACGTTTCTCTGTGTCAGTTAGGTGCTTGCTTCAGACCCCCAACTCAACGCATGAAACTTTTTCCTTGCTAGCCCCTTCCTAGCTCCCTCACCTTTTTGTGTAGCTTGGGCAGCTGAGGCCGTCTTTACCTGGTCAGGCGCTCTTGTTGTCCCTAAGTATCAGTACTTAGCCGAACGTCTATTCCAGTGTGCCTTCGGAAAGTAAAGTGGCTGCATCTGAACACCCCTGCACCCAAACCTTCAACTGCCATTTGAGTGCTAATTAAGCCCTGCCGTCTTTTGGACAAGATGTGGTCTTTACTAGATCCACCGCTTAGTAAGCAGATTGAGGCAATGTGGTTTTAGTCAATTAAACATTCCAATAGGGAGAATGACGTGGAGGCTATAATTATAGATGGATTCTTGGAAGGGAAAAAATTTCAGCATCCCAGCATGTAACATAGCGAGACCGTGTCGCTACAAAAAATAGAAAAATTAGCCGAGGGTAGTGGCGTGCGCCTTTAGTCCCAGCTACTTGGGAGGCTCAGCCCGGGAGGTCGATGCTGCAGTGAAACATAATCGCACCGCTTTGCTCCAGCCTGGGCGACAGAGTGAGCGTCTGTCTCTCTCTCTCTCTCTCCCCACCTCTCCCTCCCTCCCAATCCCCCTCTCTCTCTCTCTCTCTCTCTCTCACACACACACACACACACAGACACACACACACACGAATTTTAGTATTTGATTATACTACGATTTCCTAGGTGGCCCCAAAAGTTTTCCGACAGCCTTTAAAGAATGCTTAGTAAGAGAATAATAATAACCATCATTTGAGCCACAGTGTGAACCAGGCACTGTACTAGGTCATTTATGCAGATTTTTTTATATGTAATTCTTAAGACAACTCCATGAGGTAAGTAATTATAATAATAGGGTTCACAGACTCCCTTAGTCAATTCCACTGTCTTGGAACCTTCATAAATCTTTTTTGAAGCTTCTTGCTATGTATAGTTCATTTCTTGGTCTCTAGTAAAAGCAAGGGAACGTCAGCTACCTTCCCTACTCTCAGATACATGGTGTTTGATTATTACTTTCCCGTCCCTTCTCCTCATAATGTCTTTTTCACCAAGTCCAGTAACCCTAATTCTTTTCATTCTTGCTAATGCCAGTGCCGCAGCCCTTCAATCATTTTGGTTGCTATCCAGCTTCTCCACATCAAGACCAACTTTAGAAACTCCAAACCTGTAAAGAAAAGTTGACCTGTGCTGACTATGATGATGATGACTGTCTCTCACTAATTTATTTATTTCTCTCTCTTTCTTTCTTTTTCTTTCTTTCTCCTTTCTTTCTTTTCTTTTCTTCTTTCTTCTTTCATGAGACGGAGGAATTTCGCTCTGTTGCCCAGGCTGGAGTGTAGTGGCACGATCTCGGCACACTGCAACCTCTGCCTCCCGGGTTCAAGTGATTCTCCTACCTCAGTCTCCCAAGTAGCTGGGACTACATGTGCGCGCCACCACACACGGCTAATTTTTTGTAGTTTTAGAAAGACAGGGTTTCACGGTGTTAGCCAGGATGGTCTCGATCTCCTGACATTGTGATTTGCCTTCCTCAGCCTCCCAAAGTGCTGGGATTACAGGCATGAGCTACTGCGCCGGCCTCACTAATTTCTTGTGGGTCCTCAAGGATAGTCAGGGTTGATCGGCCTGAGAAAGGGATAACGAACTAGACAGAATGAACAGCCTTAAAGGCACAGACAGTTGAAAGGGACAGTGGTGGTATGACTGGTGCAGAGTGTTTAAAGTAGATATCATTCCGTTTTTGAAGACTTTGGCCTTGTCTGCCACAGTACAGCCCAGGTAGAGCCTTTCAAGGATCCTATGTTGTTACTCTGGTGCTAATCTAGTCAAGTCCCTAAGGTGACTTTCAATGGAAGACCGTCTCCTAAGTGGCCCAGGTAGAATTTCAAAGTAAAAGATTACCCTTCTTAACTCCTCTTTTTCTTTTTTACAAATCTTTCACCTGCTCATCACACACCCCACCAAGCCCCATCCCCATGTTTAGCACTCTCATTCTGTCCTCTGGCGGATGAGAACTGCCAACTGTGGCACTTCACTCTTTTAAAAATGCCCTCAGCTGGGCACAGGGCTCATGCCTGTAATCCCAACACTTTGGGAGGCCGAGGCAGGTGGATCACCTGAGGTCAGGAGGTTGAGACCAGCCTGGCTAACGTGGTGAAACCCCGTCTCTACTAAAAATACAAAAATTATCTGGGCATGGTTGCACGCACCTGTAATCCAGCTATTCAGGAGGCTGAGGCATGAAAATTGTTTGAACCCAGGAGGCGGAGGTTGCAGTGAGCGGAGATGGGGACAAGAGCGAAACTCCGTCTCAAAAAAAAAAAGCTCTCAAAATAACTCACCTGGTGGGGCATGGTAGCTCACGCTTGTAATTCCAGTACTTTGGGAGCCTGAAGTGGGTGGATTGCTTGAGCTCAGGAGTTGGAGACCAGCTTGGGCAACATGGTGAAATCCTGCCTCTACAAAAAATACAATAATTAGCTGGGTGTGGCGGTGGTGCATGCCTGTAATCCCAGCTACTTGGGAGACTGAGGTGGGAGGATAACTTGAGTCGAGAAGGTGGAGGTTGCAGTGAGCAGAGATTGGGCCACTGCATTCCGGTATGGGTAGCAGAGGGAGACCCTGTCAAATAAAATAAAATAAAAATCACCTTTCCCTCATCCACTCTATGATTTCATTAGGTATTAGAAGGAAGGACTCTATTATCTAATTAAAGTAATTTACAGTAGGATATGATTAATTGCTGTGCTTGAGGCTTTAGGCAACTACATAGGAAAAGAGAAGCTTGTTGACTTGATAGATCAATGAGGGGATGGTGACACTTAACCTATTTCTGTCAGGCTTTCCAGTTGCAGTCAGAAAAACAAACAGTTGCTTGTCAACTCATTTCTGAAAAATTTATTTTTTTTTAAATTTATTTTATTGCATTTTAGGTTTTGGGGTACATGTGAAGAACATGCAAGATTGTTGTATAGGTACACACGTGGCAGTAATTGTTTTGATTTAACCCAACTTTAATTACATCTTTTCCCACTACCATTTTTTTTTTTTTTTTTTGGAGACGGAGTCTTGTTCTGTTGCCCCGGCTGGGGCTATCTTGGCTCACTGCAACCTCTGCCTCCCGGTTCAAGTGATTCTCCTGCCTCAGCCTCCCTAGTAGTTGGGATTACAGGTGCCTACCACCTTGCCTGGCTAATTTATTTTTATTTTTAGTAGAGATGGGGTTTCACCATATTGGCCAGGCTGATCTTAAACTCCTGACCTTGTCATCCGCCCCCCTCTGTCTCCCAAGGTGCTGGGATTACAAGCTTGAGCCACTGTGCCAGTCCCTGTTACCCTTCTATCACAGAAATCTGATTGTTTAACTTTTTGATAGTGGTCTTTGGTTGTGTTCCAAATAATAACAAATCATTTTAATTTTATAGACTAAGTAAACGATTTTGGATGCTCTAGTTGAATCACTGATCAATACTTTGCATGATAAATCTTGATTGACTAAAATTAATAGTCACAGAGAGTATGGATTTCTGGGGCTTTCCAAATTTTCCCCCTCATTTATGTGTGTGTGTGTGTGTGTGTGTGTGTGTGTGTGTGTGACACACAGCCTTACTCTTGCCCAGGCTGGAGTACAGTGGTGCAATCTTGGCTCACCACTACAACCTCCACCTCCCAGGTTCAAGTGATTCTCCTGCCTCAGCCTCCTAAGTAGCTGGGATTACAGACAGTTGTTACCATGCCCGCCCGGCCAACTTTTGTATTTTTAGTAGAGACTGGGTTTCTCCCTCTTGGCCAAGCTGGTCTTGAACTCCTGACTTCAAGTGATCCGCCCACCTCAGCCTCCCAAACTGCTGGAATTACAGGCATGAGCCACTGCACCAAGCCTCCTTCCCATTTTTTTTTTTTTTAACATTTCCAGTAATATTTATTTTTATTTTTCTGACTAGATAGATGACCATTAAATATTATCTATGTGATTTAGAGAGTAGGAGTTTAGTGCGTAAAGTTTAATAAGGTAGAACTGTTCTTAGGTCTTATGAGACTAATAGAACAAGAGTTACTATTGATTCCATTATGGAAAAATTGATAGGAAATATATTCTTTATAATAATCCCTTTAAGAACAAAATAACTTCTCACACTTTGGAGTAAAACTTAACCAAATGAACCTTGAAAACTGAGTTAATCTTTTCTAGAAAAAAATCAGGAAGAAAACCTGCTAAAACTTGTCTGTCAGTCAACATTTATTTGGCTCTCCTGTGTGTAGATTTGTAATGGAGAAATAGAAGCACTAGAAACCCTGCCTCATTCTTGTTTTAGGGAAAACCTGAAATCCCAGCTAGGATCCAAAACCTGTCTGCACACAAATATCAGCAAATCTTAAAGCTCTGCAGCATAGACTTCCTGACTTTAAAGTTGACTCATCATAGCACAATTAAAACTCTAACTTGGTAAAGAAGTGATCAACATTCTAAAGATTTGAAAGCATCGGCTTGTTGCAGTGGCTTATGCCTGTGATCCCAGACTTTGGGAGGCTGAGGTGGGAGGATCGCTTGAGCCAAGTTAAAGAGCAGCCTGGGCAATGTGGGGAAACCTCATCTCTACAAAAAAAGTACAAAAAAATTAGTTGGGTTTGGTGGTGAGAGCCTGTAATCCCAGCTACTCAGGATGCTAAGGCAGGAGGATCTCTTGAGCCTGGGGAGGTTAAGGCCTAAGTGACAGAGCAAGACCCTGTCTCAAAAAAANAAAAAAAGAAACAAATTGTTAAACACAATTATTTATAACTTAAATTGACTTTTCAATACTCAATTCAAATTTGCAGGATAGCATCTTTATCATAAGTCAGTATTACAATTCCTAAGCCTAAATAATATCAGTGCCTTTGTTTAAAAATCATGGTTTATCTGGAACTTTTGGCAACAGTCTTTGTTATGGCAGAAAATTATTTACCTGCTGCTGTTTCAGTACTTGTCAGCAAAAGTCAAACCACCAGGGTTCCATATTTTTACCTCCTTCTGAGTCATTTCCTCTCCAATCTTCTCCTTTAAATATTATTGCTTCAGTCTCTAATTCATTTCCTCTGTATATTAATTGAGTGCTTCTACTTGAAAATAAAGTTCAATTTTGTCTTTTTTCCATTTTGTATTTTCATGAACATTTCTGTATTTGATTTTGTGACTACGTTTCTGTTACCTTAATAGATCAGTGATTTTTTTGCAGTCTAATTAGTGATTGTATGTGTGGTTAAAAGTAGGAGGACACTGGGCGAAGTGGCTCATGCCTGTAATCCCAGCACTTTGGAAGGCTGAGGCAGGTGGATCACTTAAGGTCAGAAGTTCCAAACCAGCCTGGCCAACATGTTGAAACCTTGTCTCTATTAAAAATACAAAAATTAGCTGGGCGTGGGGTGGGCACCTGTAATCTCAGCTACTTGGGAGGCTGAGGCAGTAGAGTTGTTTGAACGTAGAAAGCAGAGGTTGTAGTGAGCTAAGATTGTGCTATTGTACTCCAACCTGGGCAACAGTGCACGACTCCATCTCATTAAAAAAAACAAACAAACAACGAAACAAATAACAATAACAAAAAGAATAGTCAAAAAAAAAAAAAAAAAAGCAGCTTCGTGTTGCGAATGGAAACTTTAGGCAGATTGCCAGATTATTTTAAATGATTTTTCCAAATAAGGAAATTTATCTCTACCATTGGGCTAAATTCAAGTATCTTATCTGAAAGTACATCAACTCTGGCAGCCTGGCACTCGGTAAATTCTCCCTTGGCTTATGAAATGAAAAATTAAATTTGTCCAGATACATTTGTTTGCTTCCTTTTGTCTTGACCAATGTTAGAGTTGTATAAATTCCCCTGATTTCCTTTTTGCCTTGACCAGCAGGCAGGTAAGGCAGGGTGGTATTATGAGGCAATTCCAGTGTGCGTATATCTGAGATTCCTAGAGGATCAGAAATCTAAATTTTGCACTGTTATGTAAGTATAGATAGATGATAATATGATTAAACATACATTAGTGCATTTTAAAGCACTGATGACTTACTGGTAACTTTTGGTCATTTTCTGTTTCTGCAAAGAATAATAAGTAAAACTATTGTCAGATGGAGTTGTTAGAAAGGACCTTCGTTATTTAAATATTTGGAGCCTGGGTAACATAGGGAGACCCCAATTCTGCAAAAAAATATAAAATAAAATTAGCCAGGCATGATGGTACACACAAGTGGTCTGAGCTACTCAGGAGACTGAGGTGGGAGGATTGCATAGGCCTGGGAGGTCAAGGCTGCAGTGAACCATGATTGTGCCGCTGCATTCCAGCCTGGGTGACAGAGCAAAGCCCTGTCTCAAAACAAAACGTTTGGGATCTCTTACAATCCTAAGAGTCCAGTGAACTTGGGAAAATTGTTTAACATTTCTGAGACTCAGTTTTATTATCCCTAAAATGGAATAATATCAATCAAAAGGGTTGTTTTGGGAATAAAATTAATAACCTGCTGAATAAGTCTCTGGTGTTGAGACCCAAGGGTCTGCCATTTTCACCAGTTCCCCAGATGGTTATTCAAGTAATATAGATTCTGCAATTCCACTGTACATCAGGATTACCTGGAGGACTTACTAAAACACATTGCTTGGTCCCACCCCTAGAGTTTCAGATTCAGTAGATCTAGGATTGGGTGTGACAATTTGCATTTCTGACAAGTTCCTAGGTGATGCTGATGGTGCTAGTCTGGGGACCACACTTTGAGAGTACTAGTGCAGTATATATGATGCCACTTTGGACCAGCCTAATAAAAATAGAAAAGTAACAATAGGAATACTTGTTGAGTATTCGTTATGTACCAGGCACTATTATGTGTAGCTTACATATATTATCATGATCCTATGAAATGAGTGTTATTACTGTTCTCATTTTATAGAGAAGAAAAATGAGTGACATGTTCAGTAATTTGCCCAGTCACCTAGCTACTACAAACCTGGAGAGCCTATCTACAGAGCTCACCTTCTAAAACATTATTCAGATAAGAGGTATAACCTGATGATTGTACAGCGCTCTTTAAAAGAATTTTTCCAAATTTAAAATAAATATATTTAGTGTTTATTCTTCTGTGGGTCCATATCAAAGACTGGGGGACCTGCCTTACCTGGATCCCCAATGGCAAAGGAAGCCCACTAAAGCATTTGCCAGCCAGGATACAACCCTGTGTTCAACTAGGCTTTTGGAGATTTGATCTTTAAGTATCCTTTAAAATTAACTGAGGTTTTTTACGATGTCTATTTAAAACATTTAAATGAACTGTTGTTTATTACATCTGTCTCCTACCATCAAGTTGATGTATAAAACATGAGATTATAGTTGTTTTCCCCAACTTCACAGAGTCTTCTGGACCATTATGGCAGTGAAGTGGACTGGTGGACATTCTTCTCCTATCCTCTGCCTGAATGCAAGTAAAGAAGGGCTAGTGGCTTCCGGAGCAGAGGGTGGAGATCTCACAGCTTGGGGTGAAGATGGAACTCCATTAGGACACATGCGATTCCCAGGGGCTGATGATGTTACCAGTGTCTTATTTTCTCCCTCCTGCCCCACCAAGCTCTATGCCTCACATGGAGAAACCATTAGTATACTGGATGTCAGGTCCCTTAAAGGTTCCTTGGACCATTTTCATGTGAATGAAGAAGAAATCAATTGTCTTTCATTGAATCAAACTGAAAACCTGCTGGCTTCTGCTGATGACTCTGGGGCAATCAAAATCCTAGACTTGGAAAGCAAGAAAGTTAGCAGATCCTTGAAGAGACATTCCAATATCTGCTCCTCTGTGGCTTTTCGACCTCAGAGGCCTCAGAGCCTGGTATCATGTGGACTGGATATGCAGGTGATGCTTTTGCAGAGAGCACTTGGGTAATTTCTAAATGGGATTTTCTAACATAATCAAATTATTGATCACACCAAATATCTGCTTTTTCTGTTTTCTACTAACATGTTATCCATTTATGAACGATAAGCCTTATTTCTATATTTAATGCTAGACTGACAAAACTTAGTAGATTTTATTCACAAAGTAATCATTACTTCTTTAGACGTCCTTTTTCTATACTGTAAGATATTCCTAAAACCTGAAAATTCACATATTTGATTGTAAACATCTGTTTAAACAAACAACGGTAAGTACTAAAGGCAGAGTTGGTCCCCCCATTCTCTGTAATCTCTGTTTAAACAAAAAGTTGGCCGGGCACGGTGGCTCAAGCCTGTAATCCCAGCACTTCGGGAGGCCGAGGCGGGTGGATCACGAGGTCAAGAGATCGAGACCATCCTGGTCAACATGGTGAAACCCCGTTTCTACTAAAAATACAAAAAATTAGCTGGGCATGGTGGCGCGTGCCTGTAATTCCAGCTACTCAGGAGGCTGAGGCAGGAGAATTGCCTGAACCCAGG